GAAAGGGACCATAGTGGAAGCAGGGGACCATTGGGGGTCCAGGCAGAGATGATGGGGTGGCAGGAGTGATCGAAGAGAACAGGATCTGCAGCATTTGATAGAGTGAAATTAGGGAGGGGAGGTGATGACTCCCATTCTGCCTGAACATCTGGGGTGATGAGGCAGCTCTTTAATAAGGTGAGAAGCCAAATGAAGGAGAAACAACTCTGTAAGGGAGAAAGCAGAGTCAGAAACAATATAAAATCTACTAAGACTTTATGTGAGTTCAACTTGTTAAAGAAATAAATTATCACAATGAGTCGTTTTCCTCCATTTCTACAATAACCAGTTTGGAAAATATAATGTGCAAAAAAGGAGCACATTCTCACTGGCAACAAAAACCTGAAATACTTGGGACTAATCATACAGCCTATGTGACGAGGGCATAAATGAAGACACTAGTAAGCATAACAACATCTCAGCATCTTGGATGAACAAGAAGACGTCATTTTCTTCCCCCAAGTAATCTACAAATTTAATATAATTCAAATCAAAACGTAACCTACCAAAATAATGTTAATGCTAAACCAAACATATAAATATATACAGATAGATAAAACTCTTCCCAAAAACAACAATAAAAAAGAAACCTGTGCTTAAGTTATATTATAAAAGCTTACAAATATAAAGTAATAGCACAGGCTAGGACCAATGCAGAACAAACCAATAGGTCATTGAAACAAATCAGAAGTCCAGAAACAAATTAAGAATATTTACTAAAGATGAAAAGACAGCCTATCAATTAATGAATTAAATTGAGGGAAAGATTAGATTTATATCCATTATTCGCATGTTACACCAAAGTAAACTGTAGCTATTTTAAGTATTTATGGGCAAAAATGAAACAGTAAACTATAGGAGAGTCTGAATGCAATCTGCAAGTGGGGACACACAGGATGCCCAAGGCAGAAAATAGAAGGAAATTGATTGCAAAACAGAAAATGCAAAAAGGAAAAATTTGAAGAAATAATATATACACAAAAATCGATGAGCAAATAGTTAAGCAAATATGTCTACAGCACAAAACTATATGCTTAAAATGTAGGGTTATTTAAAGTAAATAAGATACAAAATAAGAAGGAATAAGCAGTTCTGAAAAGAAGAAATACAAATGGCTTATACATATGGTGGTTCAAGCTCACCAACCACTCCTCGGAAACCCTATACAGGGTCACTATGAGTCGGAACCGACTTGACGGCACTCAACAACAACACACATAGGATACCTATGAAAAAATGTTTCCCACTAACAATGATTTTTTTTTTAAAGCAAATCAACCCAAATGAGATACTTTCTTTTTTATTTGATGAGTAACTGGTAAATTTCAAAGACCACAGCCTTGAAATATGGGATGTACCTCAATGCAGAAAATGAAAATCTTCACAACTGGACCAATAAATAACATCATGATAAATGGAGAAAAGGATGAAGTCGTTTTTAAAGACTTCATTTTGCTTGGATCCATTACCAGCACTCACGGAAGCAGCAGTCAAGAAATCAAATGACGTGTTGCATTAGGCAAATCTGCTACACAAGACCTCTTTATAGTGTTCAGAGGACTAAGGTGTGCCTGATCCAAGCCATGGTATTTTCAGTAGCTTCATATGGACAGTGAATAAGAACGCCCATAGAAGAATTGGTGCATTATTATGGTATTGGCGAAGGATGGAATAAGCACCATGAACTGCTAGAAGAGCAAACAAATCTGTTTTGGAAGAATTACAGACAAATTGTTCTTTAGAATCTAGGATGGCTAAACTTCGTCTCTCATACTTCAGACATGTTATCAGGAGGGACCAGTTCCTGGAGAAGGACATCGTGCTTGATAAAGTGGAGGGTCAGTGAAAAAGTGGAAGACCCCCAATGAGCTGGATTAGCACAGTGTCCACAGTCATAGGTTCGGTCTCACAGGCTGTGTGAATGGCACAGGACTGGGCAGTGTTTTGTGTTGTTGTGCATAAGGTCTGTATCAGAACTGACGCAATAGCACCTAACAACAACTACAACAGGATTGGAGGTGAAATACTTAAAAGTTCAGACCTTTAAAAATGGAAGCTTCATCCACTATATTTTTGTAGCTCTGACTTATGATGTTCCTAATATGCTACTACACAAGTCTGTGCACCATTGGAATTTAAGGAGGTTTCTGTCCTCCAGGATGCATCCTGACAGTTATCTGCTGCAGCTGCCTGGGAATGACTTGGCTGAGCCTGCTGCACCAATGTGTAGGGTCATCTAGATCTTCCTCCTGTAGGAGTGAAGAGACCCCCTTGAGAGTCCACTGCTCCCCTCCCCCACTCAGGTCAGAGGTTCTCATGAGCACAGGTGGTTTCTTACTGCTGAAGCTTTTTGAAGAATCTTCGCACATCTGCTACCAAGGGTTTTTTAAGGATTCTGTTTATCCATTCAACAAAGTCTGACAGAAACCAAGATTGATCCATAGGGACTTGCTACCTGAAAAAAATGACTTAACCATCTTCCAGAAATCCATGTGTAACCACACCCTGAGAGACCCTTCCTCTTGGGACTTGAGGAGGGTGACAAATTCACAATAAGGATCAGAAATGAAACCATGGGAAGGTTTTCTTCACTGAGATTTTAAGATTCGGCTGTTGTTGTTAGATGCTGTTAAGTCAGTTCCGACTCATAAAGGAGTCCCAGTGTGGTGCTGTCGGATAAGCACTGGACCACAAGGTCGGTTTGAATCACAAGGTTGGCAGTTCAAACTCACAATCAGCTCCAGAAACCCTATACAGTGTCGCTATGAGCTGGAACCAACTTGATGGCACGTAACAACAACATAGGGTTTCTGAGGAGTGGCCGGTGGGTTTGAACCGCTGACCTTGTGGTTAGTGCTTATCCTACAGCACCACACCAGAACTGCTGTCATAGTATGTTGTTCTTGTTAAGTGCTGTCACAGTATAGGACACTAGACATCCAAATTCACAGTGCCAATTCTAGGCAAGGGTTTTGTTTGTCACCACTGGGAAAAGGTCCTTGTCTCCCATCCCAACACTGTAGATCCAGTGTTCTTTGGAGACCTCTATGTGTCTCAGCATCACTCTTGCCCTGGATCTAAGGCTTCACAGCACAGATACCCCAGGTTCAAGGGATGAGCTCCACTCCTGCGTCTTCTTTCTAGGTGGTTGTCTTAGGCCGAGTTTCCTAGAGAGATAAAACAAGTGGAGCAAACATATGTGTGTGTATCTATATAGAAAGAGAAGTTTATTATCAAGGAGATGGTTTACAATTATAGAGTCTCAGGTCCCCAGTGGAAGACAGAGCGAGTCCCTCCCACATGTCCATTATATTAGGAACAGGCCACACCCCCAAGGGAGCATCCCTTTAAATTGATTGGCTGTTCCTAGCCTCTCATCACTGAGTTAATTATGCCTGTATGAAGTTTCATCACCATGGGAATAAGCTTATTCCGACTGCTAAACCTCTGAAAATTCTGGTCTAGTCAAATTGACAAAAAAGCTTAACCATTACAGTGGTAATAGGTTTCTACTAGTTGCATTATTTGGGGAGTTTCCCACACAGCCCAGGGTTGCTGTATGTGGTGCTTCCTGCCCCAGCTCCGACTGGAGAGAGGACAGCCCCATGGCAGCTTCCCTGGGGTGATAAATACCAGGCACCTTAAACAGCCAAACAAAGTCACAGGAGGGAGTGAGCAGAGAGTATGTACACTAACAATATAACTAAGAAGAGAACTTTCCAGAGAGAGTTCCCTGAGTTTCCCTGACTCCTGGAAGCATCAGTCCCTATCTCTAGGCTTCAGTTTCCCTAGCCATAGCTGGGGTACACTACAAAATCCTTTCAGCTTACTGTGTCTAGTTCAAAGGCAAGCCCCAGGCTTACTGGTGACACCTCCAGGTCTGCAGAGCAGCGGGCGCTGGGGTGATGAACTCACTGTGTAGTGGACAGCTGCTTGGGGAGCTGTGAGTGAGGAAGGTGGTATAGGAGAGGACGCCAGGCAGATGTAGCCTGTGCTCAGAGACTTCTGCCCAGTCTTATGCTAGGATGCCAAGGAAGATACATGTCCCTGGGACATTTTGGTGGCGGCAAAGCAGGGTTTGCATACTACGATTCTGGGTCCTTTTGCTTCCATGACTTATAGTTCCAGAAAGGGAGTGGTCATGGGGTGATGGCAGGGAACTAAGATATGTACCAGATACTGGGGTAAACGCTTTACCTGCTGGGACGACCTCACTTCACCTTCATATTTTACACTGAAGGCATTGAGGTTCCAAGAGGTTAAGCATCGTGCTGAAGATCGCATAGCTGGGAAGGTGCAGACTGCAGATTTGAGCCCCATTCCACGTGGATCTCAAGGCCTAGCTGTTTTCCCATCATCAATGGCTTTTACTCTGAGTTCTCCAGAGCCCTGGACTCCTTCAACAGGTGGAGGCTCTAGGGAACAGGGAAGGCCATCAGCCAGAGCAGCTCCCCCACCTCTGGGCAACTGATCAGCAGGACTACTCCCTGGGCACACAAGCCCTGAAATTGATGGGGCCCCGCAAGTATTAATTGTCTCCTATGAGTCCTGGTGTGGCACCATAGGATAAGCAGTCGACTTCAAGGTCAGTTTGAATCGCCAACTTGGCAGTTCAAACTCACCAGCCACTCCTCGGAAACCCTAGGCAGGGCCGCTATATGTCAGAATTGGCTCTACAACACATAACAACAACAACAGTGCTATCTTGACATTTTTAAGTAATTTTTGAACATTTTCATTTTGCACTGGGCCCCATGGTTCTATTGGTCAGGTGTCTGCATAATGACTCAACTGAAAAACAGTTTGCTGTAAAAGACTTGCATGGGAGGTGAACACCCAAGCTATTCCACAGGCCCCGCAGCAGTGCTGGGCTTGGGGAGCTTCTCAGAACACTGTCTGAGAAGCCTGGTAAGCAGGAATTCACTCCCCAGGCCAGAGCTTACCCTGTGCTTCTTTTCCAGCGAAACCATCATGTTTTTGCACCAGATCTTTTACCAAGGCCTGAAAGCCCGCATCTCCAGCTGGCCCACGCTGGTCCTGGGTGAGTAGCCACTCCTCACAGGGGCCCCCAGCAACTCCCCAACCCCAGAAGTTCCTGTCCAGGGGTCTTCTTTGGCTGCCTCTCAAGAATGGGACACCATCCAGAATGGAACCCAATGGCACCCTTAAAACACACAGAAGCCCTCAAGGGGGTCAGAAGGAAAAAGACAAGTTGGCAAAAGGTATATTTCTAGGAGGAAGAGATATATATTTTAGTTCTTATCCTCTTTCCCCATTTAAAAATAATGCATATGTCCTCATTTGGGAAGATTTGAAAATCCAGAAACTTAGAAAAAGTTTAAAAATATCAAGCATAGTTAGTTCTGTTTCCCAAAGATTACCACTATAAACATTTTGGGTATTTTCTTCCTACTTTTTTCTTTCCTATGCATAGATCTTTATTTTCTTGCCATTTTACATCATTGTAAACACTCTGAATGGAGATTTGAATGTTACTGTGTGTGTGGGTATGTGTGCTCCTGCATTTAACCTTAGAGCACAACATTTTTTCTGGATTGTTATCACACGGCCTAGTATAGTGCATGAGCCATCATTTATGTAACTGGCTCCCATCATAAGCTCTTGGAGTTGTTTCCAACTTGTTATTATAAATAGTCATCTATGCACATGGAATCTTCTTCATTTGAGAGCTCATTTCCCAAACATAGATTTACTAAAATAAAGGGCATAAACGTGATAAAAAACCTCTTGCTTCATAGATATTGTCCAGAGTAACAAGCACTGCATCCAAGAATCTCCTACCCCTCACCTCACCAGCACTGGGTGTTTTTTGAGGGGACAGGGGAGGCCTGATTGTTGTTGTTTATGTTCTTAATTTGATTAGTAAAGGTGAATATTGGGGTCACCTCCTCCTTGAAAGTGATGAAGCAGGCTTAGGCAGGTTACCCAACCAGACCCCAAACCCCAACCATCAGAGTTTCTCTGCCCTCCAGCCCTGAAAGCTTCCTGAGACAACGTTTGTGTGTTCTTCTCAAGGCTAAGACCCTGGTTTTCTTAAGGGACAAAGTAGCAACATCACTACAGCATTTTCTACATTGGTATGGTTGAAGAGTCATCCATCAGGTCATTGAATGCCCTTTTATAAAACTTCTCATTTCCAATTTATTATAAGGATACCTTTTTTTTTTTCTAATTTTCAAATA